ATATATATATATATATATATATATATATGTATATATATACATCCATATACATACATACATATATGTGTGGGTGTGTGTATATATGTGTGTATATATGTGTGTTTACATATATATATATATATATATATATATATATATATATATATATATATATATATATATATATTTATATGTGTGTGTGTGTGTGTGTGTGTGTGTGTGTGTGTGTGTGTGTGTGTGTGTGTGTAGACATATACATGCATAGATATATACATATATATATATATATATATATATATATATATATATATATATATATAAATATATATATATATATATATATATATATATATATATATATATATATACATGTATATATATATGTGTGTGTGTGTGTGTGTGTGTGTGTGTGTGTGTGTGTGTACGTATATGTATATATAATATTAGTAAATATACATATATACATATATATACTTATATATATGTACACACACACACACACACACACACACACACACACACACACACACATATATATATATATATATATATATATATATATATATATATATATATATATATACACATATACATATACATATATGTATATGCATATATACGTGTGTGTGTGTGTGCAGCGATATGTGTGTGTGTGTGTGCAGCGACGGCCCCTTTGTTTCCTTCCGCCGCCCACCGCCGCCCCGGACCCGCGGCGCACCTCCTGCGCGTCCGTCTGCGCGTCTTCTATCGTCACCGCAGTTCTTTCTCCTTAATCGTTGGCGCGCTGCGTGGTTGGCCCAAGCGGCGGTCACATTACGAACTGAGCGATTGCGAAAGGCTAAATCGACAACGGAAAGGCAAGTGACATCAATGACAATCCTTTTTGAGGATCATAGCGTAGAAACAATGTATGAATGATGTTTCGTCCATCACTGACGTTACATAATGCAAAACAACGTCCGTACGACGAACCGCGCATCTTTATTGACAAACTGTAAATTGAAATGCGCAAGTTGCGACTTTTGAAAAGAACTGGCGCATATAAAAGGGTTCCCTGTCTGGCATAAATACATTAACTAAGGTTATACTAGTTTACATAAGTCCCCTATATAATATTTCATTTTCTATATTTCTAATAGTCTTATGATAGAAAACAATACTTTGAGAGGGATGACTGCAATATATTAGCTCTTGTACGTGTGCGCGCGCATATACACTCTCGCGTAAGCGCCCGAGAGGGGGTGGGTGTGGGAGTTGGTGTCCCCCTCACACGGTATGGAAAATTTAATTACAGTTTCATTGTCAACCCCAAGGCATTCTTTTATTAAAGTCGGTGATGCTAGTCTCTAAATGACAGTGTAACAAATTGGCACTGAGCTATGGTACTTAACCCTCCTTGTCCTCTCATGGTGGTACAGCATACAACAAATGCCATGCATGTGTATGTGGGTGCTTGGTTCCAAGCCACAGTACTAGTGTCTCGGCTGGTGTATCTTATCAAAATATGTCATAAGGCCATCTCAATACCCGGTATAGCATGTACAAGGGATCAAAAGGTCTGGGACTGAATCCTGTTGCTACTGTAGTGACGTGCTATTGGATGAACCCGTGTGTAGTAACTAGCTAACTGCACTTGCCCCCCCTGGTCCAAAAAGTGGGGGGTGCGCGCCCCCTCGCCCCCCCGGCTCCAAAGCCTATATATAAATATATATATATATATATATATATATATATATATATATATATATATATATATATATATATACATATACATACATATATATATATATATATATATATATATATATATATATATATATATATATATATATATATATATGTATATATATATATATATATATATATATATATATATATATATATATATATATATATATATATATATATGTATATATATATATATATATATATATATATATATATATATATATATATATATATATATATATATATATATATATATTATATATGTATATAAATATATATATAAATATAATATATATACATATGCATATATATATATATATATATATATATATATATATATATATATATATATATATATATATATATATATATATATATATATATATATATATAAATACATTTATGTTTATATATATATATATATATATATATATATATATATATATATATATATATATATATATATATGTATGTATACATATATATATATATATATATATATATATATATATATATATATATATATATATATATATATATATATATATATATGTATATATATATATATATATATATATATATATATATATATATATATATATATATATATATATAGAGATAGATAGATAGATAGATAGATAGATAGATAGATAGATAGATAGATAGATATATATAGATATAGATATATATATAGGTGTGTGTGTTTACCCAAAATGATGAAATGAAAGCTAAAAAAAGGAAGTTTGTGTCGCAATTTTTTCTTTCTTTCTTTATCTTTCATTTTTTCGTTTCTTCTCTCTTTCTTACTTTCTTTCTTTCCTCTTATATTTCTTTCGTTCCTTTTCTTTCTCTTTCTTTCTTTCGTTCTGTCGTTCTTTCTTTTTTTTCCTTCTATTTTTTGTTTCTTTCTTCCTTTCTTTCTATTTGCTTTCTTTTTCCTTCCTCCCCATTTTCTTTCTTTCTTTCTTTATTCATTATATTTATTTCCTCCCTTCTCTTTTTTCCTCGTTTCCTTCTTTCCTCCTTTCTTCCTCTTTTTCCTCGTTTCCTTCTTTCCTCCTTTCTTTCTCTTTTTCCTCGTTTCCTTCTTTCCTCCTTTCTTTCTCTTTTCCCTCTCTTTCGTTCTTTCCTCCTTTCTTTCTCTTTTTCCTCGTTTCCTTCTTTCCTCTTTTCCCTCTCTTTTGTTCTTTCCTCCTTTCTTTCTCTTTTTCCTCGTTTCCTTCTTTCCTCTTTTCCCTCTCTTTTGTTCTTTCATCCTTTCTTTCTCTTTTTCCTCGTCTCCTTCTTTCCTCCTTTCTTTCTCTTTTTCCTCGTTTCCTTCTTTCCTCCTTCCTTTCTCTTTTTCCTCTCTTTCGTTCTTTCATCCTTTCTTTCTCTTTTTCCTCGTTTCCTTCCTTCCTCCTTCCTTTCTCTTTTCCCTCGTCTCCTTCTTTCCTCCTTTCTTTCTCTTTTTCCTCTCTTTCCTTCTTTCCTCCTTTCTTTCTCTTTTTCCTCGTCTCCTTCTTTCCTCCTTCCTTTCTCTTTTTCCTCTCTTTCGTTCTTTCCTCCTTTCTTTCTCTTTTTCCTCGTTTCCTTCCTTCCTCCTTTCTTTCTCTTTTTCCTCGTTTCCTTCTTTCCTCCTTCCTTTCTCTTTTTCCTCTCTTTCGTTCTTTCCTCCTTTCTTTCTCTTTTTCCTCGTTTCCTTCTTTCCTCCTTCCTTTCTCTTTTCCCTCTCTTTCGTTCTTTCCTCCTTTCTTTCTCTTTTTCCTCGTCTCCTTCTTTCCTCCTTTCTTTCTCTTTTTCCTCGTCTCCTTCTTTCCTCCTTTCTTTCTCTTTTTCCTCGTCTCCTTCTTTCCTCCTTCCTTTCTCTTTTCCCTCTCTTTCGTTCTTTCATCCTTTCTTTCTCTTTTTCCTCGTCTCCTTCTTTCCTCCTTTCTTTCTCTTTTTCCTCGTCTCCTTCTTTCCTCCTTCCTTTCTCTTTTTCTCTCTTTCCTTCTTTCCTCCTTTCTTTCTCTCTTTCCTCGTTTCCTTTGCGTGATTTCTCCATGACGTGAGGGATTCAGTCAGATGTCGGTCGCGTCGAACACTGATTTTCTTTTTTTTATTCCTCTGTTCATGTTTTCATTTCATTTATCATTCTGTCTTGTCTATTTTTATCTTACTCTTTGTCTACCTCTTTATATATCTATCTATCGGTGTATCTTTCTCTCTATTTATCTATCTTTCTGTCTTTCTATCAATCTATCTTTCTGCCTTTTTATCTATCTACCTATCCATCTATCTATTCATCCATCTATCTATCTATCAATCTATCTATCTGTCTGTCTGTCTGTCAATTTATCTATCTATCTACCTGTCTATCTGTCTGTCTGTCTGTCAATTTATCTATCTATCTACCTGTCTATCTGTCTGTCTGTCAATTTATCTATCTATCTACCTGTCTATCTGTCTATCTCTCTAACCATCTGTCTATTCACTTATCCATCCAATATTACTTTTAAGCCTCCTTGCCTTCCACGGGACTCCTGGGGGCTCCTGGGGGCTTCCAGGGGCTTCCTGGGGCTTCCTGGGGCCAACAACGGGGTACAGGGAAAGTGTCTAATTAAGTGTGCGGAAGGTAATGTTCAAATCCGTGAAAAGAAATGTGATTCTCTGCCAGAACTACATAACGTGACAATGCACAGCTTTGCGTGATTAAAAGCGTCCATTTTTTGGATATTTTGCCGGCGATTTTTTTTCTCTCTCTCTTTTCCAAGACATTGTTCTAAAACACAAATTTTTATTTTGTTTACTTCCTTATTTCTCTCTCTCTCTCTCTCTCTCTCTCTCTCTCTCTCTCTCTCTCTCTCTCTCTCTCTCTCTCTCTCTCTCTCTCTCTCTCTCTCTCTCCCCCCCCCCCCAAGGGTCACTAAGGCGACTCTGTCAACATTAGGCATATTTGATGTTCCGAGTTCATTATAGATACTTTCAAAGCAAATATATCTTGCGGTATGCGATTCTTTCTTACGTTATCTTCCTTCTTAACATTGCAAAAAGGGAAAAGGAAAATACATGGCAAGTTGTTGTTTTTTTTTCCACATGGCGCGAAACGTTGACAT